ATACATGTAACTATTTTAAATTATTAATAAAGATATAAGCAAGGCCTCACCTTAATACCAAAAAAAAAAAAAAAATTTTAATAATCAAAAATTATAAAATATTTAACTATGGCATCCTTTAATTTTAAAGATCAGGAAGACTTTAATAATTCAAAACTATTTGGCATCTATTATAAACAAATTTATAATTGGTTAACTTATTATTATTTATTTATTCTTTGAGGTTTAAATATTAAAAAGTATCAATTTTGGGATTGAATATTAAATGATCAATAAATTGATTAGAATTTTGATATTTGAATAATTGTGAGGTTAATAAAAATAAATTATATAATAAGTGAGCAAAGGTTTTAATGTTTCTCCTTAATATGCAAATCTGTCATGTCCTAAAAACTAATATATCTTTTTTGAACTGAAGATTCAAACCTTCACTTAGAATTTATTTGGGATTTTAACCCTAAATACCAATCTCCTTCTGTATTTTTAATATTCTAATATTGTGATAAGACTCTTAATTAGTCTTAAAATGAACCAGTTTAAAAACTACAATTATGATTATTTTTAAAAAACTATGAATAATTAACATTATAAGTATTTTTATTATATAAACAAGTTACAATTTTATTTTTAATATTTATAATTTTTTTTTAAAAAAAAATTAAATTGTAGCAAAAAATGATGCTTCTAAATTAGCAGTAAATAATCTATTTAATGGCCATTTAACTTTATGACCTACTGAAGACTCTTGACTATCTAACAATTTATCTAAGTCAGTTGATTTCCATCTGAATCATCATCTGAAATCAATGACCATAATGTAATATTATCTTTATTATCTTTGCTTGTATTATTAATTTTATCATAATCACTTTTGTCATTAGCATATTGGACTGTTAAAGTGCTTTGTACATCTTTAGAATAGTTTAATAAAGATGTTGTTAAAGTTGACTCATAAAGTTTTTTAAGTTTGTCCAACTCTTAAATTCGTTAATTTTGAGCAAAGATTCCATGTAATTGACTAATTGCCAATACCTTTTTAAACTATAGTATAATTAATTAAAATAAATAATAAACAATAATAAAAATATATTATTTATTAGTAACTTAAAAAAACTTAAAATAAACTTTTAAATAATTCAAAATAATTTAATAAAATTATTTTAATACAATGATTTATTGGCAATTTGTTATGTCGATTAGAATGAATAAATCCTATTAAAGACCAAAAACATTCAACAGAAGCTGAGTTTACACATATTCTATGAATGTGTAATGCTACAAGACCTAGGTCTTTAGCACATGATGCACAATAGCTCCAATATCCAATTAAATCATTACCAAACTGTCTTGAGATTGTAGTATTAAATAGTGATTTTTTTTGACAAAAAAGTTCAAGTTCTCATAGGATTGTATTTGGTTGTTGATGAAACCATTCTGAATAATAGTATAAAATATATTCACTTATATCAACACATGTTAAATTTTCCAATTCAGAATTAAAATTTTCTATTTGATACATTGGATGAAAAACAAATGATAATATTAATAATAGTTGTTTCTAAGAGTTCTATCATTTTTCTAATCAGTCTAAAAGTCATTGACTAAGATGAATATCAGGATATTCTTTAATTATTTTGAACAAATAGCCAAATAAATGTAATACTTTAAAGAGTTGTGCTTTGTCATATTGTAATAAATTAAGGCAAGCACAATAGATAATAGTAAAGACTTTATACTTTTTATTTGTCGCCACCAATTATCATCATTAATAATATTACATATTTTGCTTGGCAGAACCAAGTTAGAAGTATCTTGAAGTTCAAAAGATTCATCACTTGAATCATAATTATGTGGTTCATATTTAGCAACTAATGTCTAAAAATATTTAATAATTATATAATTAATAAATATATATTAGATTAGTATTTATTTAAACAAATTAATTACTTTAAGTGCTTTCTTAGTTTTCAAAAAACTTCCTAAACAGTAAAAGTAAGAATTCCATCATGTTATTTCTGGCTTAATAAGAATTACATATTTATGATAAAGTATTTCTGGTTGTTCTTATAATTTTTTAATAAAGTATATATAATTAACATTTTTAAAATATGTTGTTATGATAGTTGCATCATTAATAGTTTTTTTAAATACTGGTGATTCTTTAAAAATCTCACCAACATATAAATTTAGTTGATGCGCAAAATATGGTAAAAAAACTTTATTTTTGTAATTCATTTGCAATTGCTTCCTACAATACAATAAAGATTAATTAAATTAATATATTTATTTATTTAAAATAGATATTTATTATTTTATTACTTAGCTAAAGTATAGGCTGCTGCACTATCTGTTATCAGAGCTATGACTTTAATTTTCTCTGATTCTAAATCATTAAATAACTCTTCAACTTTTAGAATAATATCTGTAGCCCATGATCTTTTACTACTAACATCTTGTACTTTTCATATTAGAGGTTTACCAGAAGTAATCAAAACACTTCCTAATAAATTTTGATTAATCACATTTGTCCAACTATCTAGGGTTAAAGTAATGCCAACTATATCTTTTTTTGCAGTTTCTTTAATTTTTGTCATAAATTCATCAACTGCCTTATTTAAAATTTTTTCACTTAATTGCTTACAAGTAAGAAGAGTAATCTTAGAATTAAAAAATTTATAAAATGCTAATGAATCTGGATTATTAACTCATCTAAAGCTCCATCCATTTGCTACTATCATTTTCAAAAGTAAGTAATCAAATTTTGATTGCCTTGTTCTTGAAAGTTCATGTACAACATTAGAATCTAATGGCCCTCTGAATTCTTCAATTTCAGTATCATTGTTTTTATCCAAACTATTGCTAAATTCTTCATTACTGCTATCTATTAATATTAATATAATTGTTATATTAAATTAATTTATAAATAATTTTATAAATAAAATATATTATTTACATTTATAATGACATTTTTTTTTATTGTTTTTTGACTTCTCATTATCTGTATTATCTAATATTCTTTTGACTTCTTGATTCCCTTTTTGATCTTTGAAATACATACAGTTTTTAAGTATGACTTAACCAATCACTTGTATTGACAAATTTAGTTGAATATGCATATTCATGTCCTCTCACTTCCTTGCATGCATTACAAATAGCAAAGTGATTATACTCATTAGACTTCTCTTTTAGAACTTCTATGAACTCAGTTAAATGATATCACAAAGGTTTATTTTTTCGCATCATTAGTATTAAAAAAAATATTGCTTTGCTCAATTTTATGTTATATTAATAATTAAATTTTGATGACATAGCAGTAAAATGTAATCATAAAAGTATCTTCATTAAAATTGAAAAATAATTATAATTATTCCTTTTTTGATATTTATAATATAACAATAACAATAACAATAAAATGATTAAAACAAGTAAATAATAATTATTAACAATAATTACTGTTTAATTTATAAAGAAAGATTAAGTTGTAAGTCTAGAAATAATAATAATAGCCTATTGTTATTTCTAAACTTATGACTTAATTTTTTTTTATTAACATTAAACAAAAAAAAGTTTTATTTTATAATAAGGTAAAATATAAGAATTTCTTTTTTTGTTTATTTTATTTTACATTTATAGTTAAGTTTAATTAGTCTGTTAATAAAGTTATAAAACTTTATTTTTTACAGTTTTATTATAATCATATGGGATATATTCATTTCTTCTTTAGATGACATTTTTATATTTATAGTTAAGTTTAATTAATTTGTCAATAAAGTTATGAACCTTTTATTTTTACAGTTTTATTATTATCATATAGGATATATGTGTTTCTTTTTTAGATAATATTTTTACATTTATAGTTAAGTTTAATTAGTTTATTAATAAAGTTATGAACCTTTTATTTTTACAGTTTTATTATTATCATATAGAATATATATTTTTCTTCTTTAGATGACATAATTCAAGTACATAATTAACAAAAACTTGATCTTTATTTTAGAAAACAAAGAAAAAGATCTTTTTGATCTTAAAAAAAAAAATAAAAATCAAAATTTTACTAACTTTGCTTGGACATTATTAAAGTAACATCATAATTACTTAATTAATATATATGTATTCTGGCTTAATACTATCTCACTTGTGAATAATATTATTATTTGTATTTGTCATTAAAGTAGTATTAAGAATAAATAAAAAAAGTATATACATAGTAAGTAAATAAATAGTATGATAAGAAATATTTCATCCTAGAATTTAAAGACTATCACCTATTGAACTTAGCTTCTTAACAATTTGTTAACAATGTGTAATTACAATATAGTATTATGAGCAAGCTTTCTAATGAATATAAATTCTTAAGATATTGCACTATTGTAATACAAGTCATTCTTGTTATAGTAAATATGTGAAGACAAGCAAATTTTTAATTTAGTTAATTTAAACTGAGTAAAATTCTTACAATATTGTAAATTAACTTGTATAACTTTCAATATAGTGAACTTTAAAATTTTATTAATAAATCTATCCAATATATAACTTATATATTTGTTAAAATAAAGTGATTAGAAAACCTGCTTTTAATCTACATATTATGAGGTATTAAATAGATCTTTTTAAAAGCTAAATTATATGCATAAATAATAAATATGAATGATATAAATAAATTTTTGTTTTTTGGTATTATTTATATTACAATGCTATTAATCTATAAAATTAAAATTTAAATTTTGATTAGTTTAATATCACATGTTATGTATAAATTTAAATGTTACACAATGTCCAGTGTCCAATGCCTTCCGGTCCAATGGACTGGACTGGACTAGACAAGGGTATCCAATGTCCATGTTCATTGTCCAGGCCAATACTGCCACTATGATAGCATGATGGTTAACTATATGCATTAGTAAAAATCCAAGAGAAAAGAAGAATAGAATAATTACTTAATGTAGAAGTATTACTATTAACAAGTCTATATAAAAGAAAGAACTGTATATTAAATAAGTTATTCCAAATATAGTTAATACAGCTTTGACTAGTGTTGTTTGACTATGTATAGTGTTTGTTGTTAATATGTGCTTCAAGATCATATATATTAGATTAATGTAGATAGTTAATAAGTTAAAATTTGGATAAGGAGCTACAAATGTTGTTATATGTGTTAAAGTCTTCAAAAACAATTGGATGTAGATTTAGTTGATAGGCTTGTTGAATCTATGTAATTACTGTATTTTGTGTTTTATTCTGTTTCTGCATATCAGTAGAGAAAAGGTAAACTGCAATAATGCAATGTTTAATATCATTTTTGAAGAAAAGATCTAAAGCAATAGCTCCACCTAGGTGTGTTTGACAATTATGTATATAAGATTTGAGTTGGTTATGAATATAATAGTAGTGCCTTCTGCTAAATATTCAGAGTTGGCTCAGAAATAAGTAAAAAGATTGTTATTGCAAAACTGAAGATTAGTTTTGTTAGCAATTTTTGTTTTAGTAATATATGCTATATTGATATTGTTGTAGAGATAGTAGTTTTGCCAAGCTTTCTTTTTAATTGTTGTATTAAAGTCTTGAACATTGTGTGTAGTAATATTTAGATATAGGTCATATAAGTTTTAGATTAATATAAAGGTTTGTGGCCTAGTTGTTAGTAAATGTAGAGATGAAGTATTGTTAAGAAATAAGTCTGATATGTTAAAAGTAGAGTTGGAAGAATATGATTTAAGAAAAAAATTATAAAATTTAGGAAAAAGATAAGAGGAAATAATGATATAATTAGAAAGAAATAAGTTATTAGAGAGGTATATATAAGTTTCACTATAAATAGAGTTAACAGAGAATGTAATACTAGTGACTTTTTGGTTGTGATTGTGTTTAGCAATATGCTATATAAGTGTTTGAATGGTTTGATTGTAAGGAAGAAGAGGTATATTATAATGTAGAAAGAATTTGTTAAAATATATATTAAAATTATAGGAAGCTTAAGATGTTGAAAATGATTCTTTAAAATTGTCTTTTATAGAGTCATTCACTGTATACTTGGCTCTCACAGTTGTGCAAAGTACCATAGTTTGTCCTGTATATTGGGTTTGACTATCATTATCTTGGCCTTTCACATAAATGAGCTTTACCACTTGCCCACTTACATCATTTTTCTTATCAATTACTATGAATGTTTCTTTTGATAATATGGCAGCTGCTTCTATGAGTTTTGTAGAAGACAAGTTTACTGAAAAGAAGTTTCTTTAAAGAAGAGAGTCTCTTCAATTAAAGATGAAGTTGCATATGTCATTTTGAATTTGTCATGTAACAGTTTATCTGCTTCTGAATAAGCTGTTTCTTTGAAAAATTTGTTAGTTTGAGAATAAGTAAGAAACTTATCTAAGAGTTATAAAATGTTAAAACTCTTACAAAAAAGTCAGTACTAATAGGCTTAGAGATAAGAAAATCTATTGTTTGTTGTTTGTTGAGTTTGTTGATATTATGGTTTTGTGTTGCAGTATTTTGATAAAGATTTAGATATAAATAAAAATAATAACTGTAACATTTAGGATTAGTTTGAACATTATTAATTTTGTAACAAAATTTTCAGCTTCAGTTGCAAGTTAGTCAAGAAGAAAAGTTGAAATCACTTTGTTATAAATTGTTTCATGTTTACTATTTTTGTGAAATATGAAGGAACTAATATCAGGTTGTTTCTGAATTTCATTTTTTTGTTTAGAAAAATTAATAAAGGATTTTTGAAAAATGTCATTTAAAAGTTTTGAGAAATTATGCTAATGTTGGGGCTTTCAGAAGGAGTTTAGGTTTCTGTTTATTTTTTTTTGTTTTTGGGTTCAACTTTTTCTAAATAAGAGCAAGTTGCATCTGTACAAGTAAGTATATGATAATTGACTTGTTTAATTGTGTTATTATGATATTTTTGTAGATTAGGTTTTTCAAATTGTAAATTAGTAGGTATAGTTTCTTTGAGATGTAAGATAAATTCTTGCTGAAATTGAAATTTAAGAGAATTAAAAACTTTAGTTTTATCAAAAAACTTAGTGAATTGTCAATTATATAAAAGGAAAAATTGTTTAAACTATTATTTAAAATAGTCTAGTGAGTTTTTGAGAGATGGAATATTTAATTTTTGAAGAAAGAGTGTTTTAGGGATATTAAAGTTAAGGTAAATATTAAATTTGTTATCTGATTTGATTGTAAGATATTGTTTATCTTGATCAATATCAGTTACTTCTGATTTGATAGTAAATCTTTTAGGTCAAAGTTTGAAGTCTTCAGCAAATTTAACATAATCAATTGTCTGATAATTATTAGAGAGATATAAATGAATACATGCAAGATTATTACAATATTGTAATCTGTTTTGATTTGTATAATGTAAAATAATTGCAGATGAGACAAAGGTTTTTGAGTAGTTGAGTTTTGTAAAAAGAACAGTAGTAAAAATCAGAATCTGTTTTTTAAAAGTGTCTTTGAGTACATTGAAAGGAATAGTAATTGCTTTGTCAGTTTTAGGATTATTTTTGTTGAATAAACTCAATAAGAAATTTAGGTTTATTTTTAGCTATTATATGAATAATATGATAAAAGCTAGATTTAAGTGCTTTGCAGTTATCTGTTTTGGGTTTGATTTTCATGTCAGATTAAAAGTCATGTAAGTGTTGTTTAAGAAGATTGAATATTTTTCTAGAGAAATCTGTTTCAAGTTGGGTATTGGATTTTATTGTTTTAGAAATAGAAAAGTTAGTAAGTTAGTTGAATATTGAATTAGCTTTAATATTATTTTAGTTATTAAAGGTATTGAGTTGTTGTTTATTTAGAAATTGTTTTTGTTGTTGTTGTGTTTCTAACTGCATTTGTTTAAGTTGGTTTTGTTATTGTTATTGATATAATTATTTTGTTGTTACTGTTGCTATTGTTGATTTTGGCTGTTGTTATTAGTATTATTTGTGTTTTCTTCTGTTGGGGTTAAAGGATTAAGTTGAAATGATAATAGGTTTCTGTATTCAGAGAATGATTGTGGAATTTTTAGATAAAGTAGTGTGTAGACTTTGTTGAAATA